AGTATTAAATGACTTTACTATCTATATTAAGATCACACAACTATTAAGGGGCAAACTCTGGCTCTTTCTACTATACCATGCTGGCACTGGAGAAGAGAAGAATAAAGGGTGGATTTGAGAGATATTATCGGGTTAGATTTATCCAAGGTAGGTTACCAGCTGAACATTCATATAAGCTATGGGAATTATCTAAATTATTCCGTGTTCCCAGCTTGGCACCTGGATGAGCGGTAACACTATTAACCCAGATAGGAAACATAAGAAGAAGAGCAGAGAGAGGGAGGTGAGATGACTTCTGGTTTGGACATGTTGAGTTGTGGTGCCTGTGGGACATCTAGAATTTTAAGTGTCTAGGAGGCAGCTAGAAATAAAGGTCAGGAACAAAAGAAAGCTAGAGAGTAAACTTAAAGACTTCTCAGGACAGGTGTGAAAGTTGGAATTATAGGGCTCAGATAGTTCAAGGAGGAGGCCTAGAGTGAGGACACCTATCCACTTAAAAGTCCATGTTCCTAGAGGAGGACCAAGGAGCAGTTCTCAGGTTCCTACCCTCCTCCTCTATCTCTGCCCCCAAACAGTGATTCCTCAGAAAATGGCATGCTGTCCCGCTTGGGTGATCTGCTCTACTACACTATTGCTGAGGGACAGGAACGAATCCCTATCCACAAGTTCACTACTGTAAGTTCTTCTCTACCTGCTCAGAACCCTAATCCCTTAGGATCTCTGGAAAGTGGGAAAAGGAGGGTATGACCATTGCAAGGCAACTAATGGATTGCTTCCTGAAGATAAATAGTAGATGCCTAGCCTGATGAGACAATCCCGTCCCTGCCCCAGGGTGGGAAAATTAAACCCTGTAACTCAACCCATCTTCTTGGTTTGTGACTTTGACCCAAGGGGTTCAGAAACCAGCTGCCTTGATGAAAAAGGGTAGGAAACCCCCTATTAGCCTTCAAAGCTGCTCTATTCCCTCCTTTCTTGGTCTGCAAACCCATTTGTTCCACCTATTGTAGCAGTTAAGTTTGAGCTAATTGTCATCTATTGGGAAGGATTATTAAGATTGGATTACTGTCCTTGTAGCTGACCTTACCAACTGCTTCTTTCCCCTACAGGCACTGAAGGCCACTGGACTACAGACCTCAGATCCACGGCTCCGGGACTGCATGAGCCAGATGCGCCACATGGTTCAACAGTCCAGCAGTGGTGGCCTCTTGGACCGAGATCTTTTCCGAAAGTGAGGGCCCCAGAAACAAGGGCACCACTCTCAAAACTGTTCTTGGACATAGCAGGGAGGGATCTTGGGGATTAGATAGTTCAAATCATCGTTTTATTACTTATTACACAAATAACATGAATATGCGTATACTCATTATAAAACTTCAAACAATATAGAAATACATGTTCTCCTTCCCCTCTCTCCGCAATCCCAGTTTCTTTTCCCAGAAGTAAACATTGTTAACAGATTAGTGGCTATCTTTTAATGTCCTATACATTTACATTCACATAGGAATATATGTAAATATATGACTTAGGATTTTTAAAATATAAAGATGACCTACTATACATATTATTTGGGTATTTATTTTTCTTGGGATATCATTCCCCATTATTACGACCCCTCATTTTAGAGGCAAAGAACCTTAAGATCCAGAAGGATAGTGACATGCCAAAGGTCACACAGCTATTGGTCCCAAACCTGATGACCACTCATACCTTCTTTATTCCCAACTTTAATGGCTCTAGAGTGAGTCACAGCTGCATCTCTTCACCTCCCTAACCCAATCGTATCTGGGATCCAGGTGTGTGAGCAGCAACATTGTGCTCCTGACCCAGGCATTTCGAAAGAAGTTTGTCATTCCTGATTTTGAGGAGTTCACGGGCCATGTGGATCGCATCTTTGAGGATGCCAAAGAGCTCACTGGAGGCAAAGTGAGGGCCAGGGGACTAAGGGAGGGGCAAGGGCTCTGGGCCAGACATACCTTACTTCTTGGAGATTTCCTGGGGCTGGGAATCCAGTGGATGAGAGATGAGAAGCAGAACCTCTAAAAATGTGGACAAGGGCTTTATGTATTTCTATACACGAGATTTCTAGACCAGGTGAGGGAATCTGAGTTTTTTATGGGAACATTTGGCATAAGGACTCAATAGAACTTTGAAAGAGACCTACAAAGTAATTGAGCATAAGAATCAAAAAGAGAAGCTGACCCCAGAATTTTCCTCTTTTTACCTTCTACGGGCTTTATTGCCATCCCCATAGGAATGGTGCTATAGAAAGATAAGGCCTTCTAGGATTTAAGGCATGGATGTCTCTGGGAACAACAGGCAGGAGGGAAACTTGTTGCTCTGCAGAAAACAAAATTTTAGCTTTTATCTAAAAGATTCTCCTGACCCTGAGCCTCAGCTCTCTTCTCCTTCTCTATATCCATATCTCCATTCTGTCTCTGTTTTCTCTACCTTCTCATGACCAGGTGGCAGCCTACATCCCTCAGTTGGCCAAGTCAAATCCAGACCTGTGGGGTGTCTCCCTGTGCACTGTGGATGGTCAGCGGTGAGATACTGGGTGAGAAAAAGGGGAGGCAGGGCACAGGAGCAGGACATAAACCTACTTCTCATGACACCTGTCTACCTCCAGGCACTCTGTGGGCCACACAAAGATCCCTTTCTGCCTGCAGTCCTGTGTGAAGCCCCTCACTTATGCCATCTCTGTAAGCACCCTAGGCACTGACTACGTGCACAAGTTCGTGGGCAAAGAGCCCAGTGGCCTGCGCTACAACAAACTCTCCCTTAATGAGGAAGGTGAGCACTACCAGTGGTTGACACCAGACTCAGATGCTCCCTTCATATCCCTGCGACCTATCCTTTTTTTGTTTACTTGTTTCTCCACCCTTCCTAATTAGCTCTGTCATTCCACCCTCCCTAGCAAAGAAATCTTTCTAGTCTAGCCTGCAGAGTGGGCAGGTTGTAAACAAGGTTTTGCTCAGTGGCTAATAAGACTCTGGGCACTTTGTATTTCCCCAGGAATCCCCCATAACCCCATGGTCAATGCTGGCGCCATTGTTGTGAGCTCCCTGATCAAGGTCAGTGCCACTCTAGCCTTCTCTGAACCTCCTTGTTCCTATATCCCTCATGTCTGCCCAACTCCCCAGGGAGACTGGTGGGGTCTTCATACCCTCAGAGGTATGAAGGCAGTGAGGCAGTGAGGGCACATACTATCTGAGGATGTTAGAAAAAGGAACTGTAACCCTGCCCCCACCCATGAGTCTAGAGCCCAGAGCTTCCTGGCCCTTAGAGAAGTTAGGAGGTCCTGACCCCTATCTAGGACCAAGGGCCAAATGCTAGACATAAGGGGAGGACAGCACTATTAGACACTGATTGGCCACTTCTGGGTGAGGGACACACGGAAGTAAGGGTGAATGGCCAGGCCAGGGCAGCTATTCACGTCACCTGGAACTGTGAGTTGGCCTTGAGCAAGGGTGTCAGGCTGGCCTGTCAGCTACAGGACTCCCAGGACTTGAGCAAGAACTTGAGAGCAATGTGGGCAGCAGTACTCTGGAGCCAATCACAGCCCCTCCTAGAGAAGGTGGTGTTAGGAACCCTCCCCCCAGAGATTTAGGTGTCAGAGTCCCTGTGGTGTTGACACTGTAGTTAACATGTGCAAGAAGTAATGGGGGTAGGGGAGACTAGGCTCAGCCTCTCCCCTTGCTCTGGGATAGCTCTATCCCTGTATCTGGGACCTGCCTTTTCCCATTCCCATCTAAGCAGGCCCTATTGGACTTGACTCTCAACTAAATATTTAGCTTTATTTCAATTATCAACATATTTGACATAATTGACTATTATAATACATGCAACACACACCCTCATTCCCTTCCTGTCACTTGCTCCAGTCTTGAAGATGACTATAGGAGTCAGGGACGGGATAGAGTAAAGCTCCGGCCTGGGGAGCAAGGAATGCGGATAGGAACAGGAATAGGGGTAGGGGTTGGGGACAGGATTAGAATCAGGAAAATTAAAGTAGGAGTTGGGGATGAGAGTTGGGATTGAGAATGGAAGTGGGTGTGAAATTCGGGGACGAGTGAGGCTCAGATGAGGTGAGGTTATCTGTATTCATTACTTGTTAATAAAATCTAAATGGGTTGGTTTTTAAGGTCCCTGGATATGCATGGATACAAAAAGTCTAAGTTGTTTTAAAAAAAAGTCGTTGTAAAATGTAACACATTCCCAGTAGCAAAACCAGACTAACACTTTAACTCTGTAGTCCTCTGACCCTCCCCTGTCATCCTCCTAGGCTTGGAATACTGATGTCTCTCTCTCTCTCTTTGCAGATGGACTGTAACAAAGCAGAGAAGTTTGATTTTGTAAGTTTCCTTGCTATTCAGTCCCTGGCTGCTTTTCTCCATGGCATGTTGTCTTCTCCAGCCATCCCAGTGCTTGGCTCTAACCCCACTTTGATATTGCACCAGCCCATATTAGAAGCTCATTTCCAGAGGTGCAGGAATCTGCTGGCCTCAGAGAGGAAAGCCTCCTGAAGTCCCTGCTGGGATAAGGACTGAGGAGTTCAGAAGAGTTAGCCTTCTATATGTTTAGCAGGGGTCCTCACTCACGTGGTGCCTCCCATGCCCCTTTTTCTCTTCTAGGTGTTGCAATATCTGAACAAAATGGCTGGGAATGAATACATGGGTTTCAGCAATGCTACGTAAGGCCTTATTCACAGGATTAGCTGAGTGCATTGTGGTGTGTGTGTGTGTGTATGAAAGAGAGAGAGAGAGAGAGAGAGAGAGATGCAGAGGGGGATGATAAAGAGCATCTTAAGAGGAAGAAGTCTCAGGGGAACTTTGGCCTTCCAGCTTCCTCTGTGCCCTTCATTGACATTTGTTTACTTTGTAAAAGAATTTGCTCCATTTCAATTTAGTACTTAATGAGCGAGGGTTTCTTGCCAAAGCGCTCAAAGCCAAAAACTTCAGTTCTGCTAGACTGGATGACCAGCCGATTTTGAGTGTGTTTTGTTTTTGTTTATTGTGTTGTATTGTGTTGTTTATTGTACACTTAGAATAAAGTCCTGCCCAGTGCTTGCTTGGGTTCAGAAGTCTTTTTCCAGTATTACTATAAGAATTTATAAAGGGGCTGATTTAGTTTAACATGTGTTATTGATGTAGTTGTCTCTCTCAGGGAAACTATTTTTTTCCCCTTCTCCTCACACCCACACCTCAAATGTCAAGTACTAAATTGAGTGTTTGCTTCAGATTCCAGTCAGAGAAGGAAACGGGGGATCGAAATTATGCCATTGGCTATTATCTAAAGGAAAAGAAGGTAACTGGGAGCGGCTGGTAGAGAAAGTCCCTGGGAATTCTGTGGCTGAGGGAAGGGCAATTGGGGTTGGGGACTTTGGCTGAGATCCTGGCAGTGTGAAAGGGACTGCTGATAGCCTGAAGGGAAATACTCTCCCCTCTTCTTCTTTGTAGTGCTTTCCTAAGGGGGTGGACATGATGGCTGCCCTCGATCTCTACTTCCAGGTAAGCAAACACTGCCATTAAGCTCAGGCCCAAGAGAACAGGACAGCCTGCACTCCTTGCTCTGACCCAGAGGGATCCTCTCCTGTTTCTGGTGTCCTTCAGAAACACTAGGGGAACTTCTTAAAAGATCAGGATGCCAAGAACATTGCTCTACACCCAAGAGCAGTGTTCAGTTCCACTCCGCTCTCTAACCTCTGCCTTGTCTCCATAGCTGTGCTCCGTGGAGGTAACCTGTGAATCAGGCAGTGTCATGGCAGCAACCCTGGCCAATGGTGGGATCTGCCCCATCACAGGCGAGAGCATTCTGAGCGCTGAGGCAGTGCGCAACACTCTCAGCCTCATGCACTCCTGCGGCATGTACGACTTCTCGGGCCAGTTTGCCTTCCATGTGAGTGCTTCTGGCCCTGCCATCCATTTACCACAAGCCCAGAGCCAAGAAGAAAGGACACTGAGTCTCTGAAGGTGGAGAGGTGGAAGCTTGTTCCTGCCTCTCTTTCACTAACTTCCAGGCAGGCGATTAGGCGGAGAATCCCTAAGGGACTTGGTCAAACACATCAAATTCCTCAAACACAAACACACAATTTTGCAGCTTC